AAAAGGTCACGACAGTTTCTGAAGAAAGATCTAAGTTTTAATTTTTCTCACTTTATAACCATGTTCTTTTTTTACTTCTCAATAGCTGACATTCTAAAAATAATCTTGTTTTGGCTCATAGGCTCCATCTATCTGGACTAGAACGAATTTTTTGAGGGGAGGAGATGTTATCACTGCGTTTGGTTTCCAGTGATAATCTAGGTGGACTTAAAAGAATCCCCCCAGCAAAACCTTGTGAGGTCAGCCAGGGCAAATGTTTAACATTTTGGCAACTTATCTCCTTGTTTGTTTAGCATTTCTTAGCCTTTGAAGCTTCCCATAAATAGTCATGAAGTTATCACAGAGGGAATCAGCTAAGATGAATTGATGTTATTCCCAAATGCAAGTCCCCTGCCAGGAGCTGGCTGGTGCTTCAGAAAGATGGTGGTGGGAGCAATCTTGCCTGCCCTTCCTCATGGCCTAATAAACTACACCATTATTGGTTCTCTTGGTGGCTAGGCCTGTTGGACCTTTAATAAGCATATTGGATTTTTATTTCATCCTGGTGGTTTGGAGTATGAGGTAGTAAACAGAAACCTGTATCTCCAAACTACAGAGGTAATTTGCTGGTTATATGGATGCTTGTTGGGGGATAATAAATGCCTCCAGAGTACAACCCCTAATACATGTGCACACCTCAGTGCTACCATCAGTTGCAAGGAATTCAGAATAGAAAAATATACCAGGCTCGATGAACTGGATAATTGTCCCGAGTACCTCCTTTGCTTTAACTACAGAGGCAGACTGTTGTGAAGTATGGTGGTTACATTGCTCCTCATTGAAAGTCCTGCCAGTGGCACCGTGTCAGCTCCAGCAAATGAGGAGACTGGAACTTCAGGTGGAAGATAAAGCATGAAAAAGGCCTTTGTGAGCATCTGCCCTTTTTTCCTGATCCCTTACCCCCTCTTCTAGTCTGCACGAGGACAGTATGGGCTTGCGTCTGTGAGCCAATCCTTCAGACTCAGTGGCTGACTTGAACTTGAGCAATTGAAAGGAAGGAAAGGTTTCTGCTTTGGGAGGCTGGGTGATGCTGAATACCCAAAGCCAGGAAGAGAAGAGATAAGGGAGGGAAGGAGAAAGGATTCAGATAAGATGGGGTTGAATGGCTCAGAGGACATTCTGATAGACATGTTCTGGAGGCTTATCCTGGTTTCAGACTTAAGGGTATGGTAGGGGCTTCAGGTAAAGACATTGTTAGTCGGACTTCCCTGATGGTTCCGTGTTTAAGCATCCTCCTGGGCAATTTATAGTTGACAGTCTACATGAATCCTTCTCAGCCTTGGCACTATTGACATTTTGGACTGAATGATTGTTTTGTTTTGTTTTGGTGGGGAGCTGTCTTCTGCACTGTATATTTAGCAGCATCCCTGATCTCTACCAGTGAGATGCTGTGACAACCCAAAGTGTCTTTGGACATCACCACATGTGCCCTAGAGGCAAATCACCCCTGGTTGAGAACCACTATTTTTCTTGATCTGACCTTGTATACTAACTCAAAACCTAAACCTTGCCTGAGATGTAACTCCAGTCCATATTTTTCTAGCTTTATTAAGATATAATTGATACAGAAAATTTCCAGCCCATATTTATGAAATCCTGTAAAACTGACAGGGATGGGATATTTGGGGCTTAGAGAACTACCACGCCTCTACATTGGGTAGAGACAATTAGAATCTGCCTAATTGTAACACACCATTAAATCATCTATCCATTAAATACTGAGTGCCAGCACATACAAGGCACTGCACTAAGGCCATGCACAGCAGGACAAAGCATACATGTAGTTCCTGCCCTCATAAAGCATCTATTCTACTTCATACTCATGGAGCATGAAGCATCCAATTACAGATTTTATTTAATTGTCACAAGTGCTCTACAGGGAAGGGCGAGTCAAGCTGACCAAGCTTCAAGGACTGAAGAAAATGATATTTAGCCATTTAATCTGGAAGGTAACCAAGTGATAGGCAAGTGAAGGGGGAACAGTATCCTGGGCAGAGGTAACTGCATGTGCAAAGGTCCTGAGGCAGGAAGGAATGTCATATATTTGGACTGAACACCAGGACAGCAGATGTACAGTAAATAAGGCAGAGAATGGAAGAGATGAATGAAAGGCAGAGAAAAATGTCTGCACCAGATCATCTTGGAAATTGAGGAGTTTATCTTAAGATTAATGGGAAGCTGTTGAATGATTTTACACAGAGCAGTTAAGATTCAATTTGTGCTTTAAAAGATCAGCCTGTCTCTGTGTAGGTCCAGGAATCGTAGGTTTCTCTCCAGACTATAAGGGATTGATCTCATTCCCTGCTGGGCAACTCTGATGGAGCCTTTTGAGGTTACCATGACCATTGGTGCCAGCACCCATCCTCCAACCACCCCAGTATGGAAGCTTTTAAATTTTTAAATAAAAGAAGCCATTTCTGTTCATGTTCTCCCTTTGTTGTCCTTCTTTAAACCGTGATTGAAGCTAGGCTCACATATCTGAAAACCCCAGAGAAGAAAATCATTTCCATAGCAGCTGTAACCATGGGAAACCTTCAAAATAGCTCCCGTTCCTATATTCCGCTCCGCTCTATTTATTGGTTGGCTGAAAATGAGGACTCACATTTTGGTGTTCTTTTTGTCAAAATCCACAAAGATGAGAGTCGTTTTTTCACTTCCACACACACCTTACCATAGCTTGAGAATCAAAAGATGGCCTATTGAGGGTGAGGACGAACATATGAAGCCATTAGGATGCCTTCACTTGTTCCTAAGTTAAAAACACTCAAGGGGAATGTTGATTTAGATAATGAGGTCTCCGGTTTCTCTTCCTCTTGCTTGTTTCCTCCCAGGAAGTACGATAGCACCAAGCACATCTTCCCCGAGAGCTATCAGGAGCAAACTCTTTTTTTTTTTTTTTTTTTTTTCTGAGACACTTGAAAGTGGTTTCATCAGTTTCCTTTCCATTATATTCTCACAGGCTTTTGGTAACAAGCCGTCTCTTTGTCACTCCAGAGAGATGCTCGAAATTCTTCCAGAAACACTTGATTCCCCTTTGGAGAGTTACTGTCATAAGAGTCAGGGCTTGTTTTGGGCTGAATCTCTGGTATGGTACCTCTTTTTTAAAGGGGTGGGCACAGGGTAGACATGGACAGGTCATTTCTCTTGATGAGCTGATTTTAAGGAAATGAAGGCTTGACAGTGAATCAGAAGTTATTGCTGTAAAAAGGTTAATAAGGAGACTGAAACATATGAATTTAGGGTTTGTTTTTGGACTTTGGCCAGACCACTGGGAGAGGCTCAGGAGGAGAGCCGAGAGAGGAAACACGAAGTTCAGGCAAGTTCGTTATGTGCACTCTCATTTCCAAAATGTTTGAAAACCATGTCGAGAAATGCATTGCATAAGTTAAACCAGCTGCTGGCGACTTTTATGTTCATAGCTTTTCAGGGTCACCACAGATAACAGGGTGGGTTCTCCAGGTTCTCAGCATGTAGGAGAGAAGCCTGGGGAGGTTTCCTTTATGCAACACTCTTATCATAACAGGGTGGCATCCTTTTACCTCTAGAACTCACTGCATAAATAGAACTCATGACTACTGTTGGGCTGGACGTAGCATGGCTTATTGAACTTTGAGGTTTTTGTTTTCAAACAAGGTACTCAGGATCTGGCAATCAGTTGATCAGAATCATGACACAAGAATTTAAGAGGTTTACCGTAGTTCAAGAGCTTGGCCTGGCCTTCTGGAGTTTTCCCGTTGACATTCATGGGCTTGATTAGAGTACAGTTGTAAAAATTAAATATGACGATCTATGCAGCTTGCCTAGCACATGCTCCATAAATGTCAGTTCTTGTCTCTTATTAAACTTTTATAAGGGCAGTCTTAAGAGAATGTAATTGGATATGTTTGACCGAATCACAATGGGGCTGGGCATATTGAGATACTGTCAACGGCTTCAGTTTTCCACCAAGCAAGTGGTGTATCATCCCATCAGAGGCCTGGAATGATAACCGTGCCTTGAGTCTCTTGCTTGAGGTCTAGACTGGCTAGCCTGAGAGCCATCTTCTCAAAATGGTCTCCAGAGCGAAGAGCTTGACAGCTTGCCTTGATAGCAGTCAGTGGTCTCTTTCAGGCCAGCGGGGTTGGTTGGTCATCACCGAAGATGCAAGTGCCCATGCTTTATAAAACTTACTACCCAAAGCTGCCTAGTAACATGTTTTTCCAGTTGAGAAGTCATTAATCATTAAATAGCAAGTGCCTCTGTGTCCCTTAGACTATGTTTTGGCTCACTGAAAATGTTTTCAGCATGCAAAGTACTTTTAAGAGTACTTTGAGAAATTTCTAGATGCAAGACTTTTCTTCAAAGACCCTATTGCTCAATTCTTTTTAAAAAAAGATGTATTTGTTTATTTTTGGCTGTGCTGTCTTCGTTGCCGTGCAGACTTTCTCTAGTTGTGGCGAAGGGGTTACTCTCTAGTCATGGTGCGTGGGCCTCTCATTGCGGTGGCTTCTCTTGTTGCAGAGCATGGACTCCAGGCACGTGTGCTTCAGTAGTTGCTGCTCTTGGGCTCTCGAGCACAGGCTCAGTAGTTGTGGCGCAGAGACCTAGTTGCTCCAAGCAGGTGGGATCCTCCGGGACCAGGGATCAAATCCGTGTCCCCTTCACTGTCAGGCAGATTCTTAATCACTAGACCACCAGGGAAGTGTGTGTTCAGTTGCTCCATCATGTCTGACTGTGACCCCATAGACTGTGGCCCACTAGGCTTCTCTGCCCATGGAATTTTCCAGGCAAGAAGACTGGAGTGGGTTGCCATTTCTTTATAGAGGGAACCTTCCCAGACCCCGCTGTGGGGGCCTTCTCCTGCATTGGCAGGTGGATTCTTCACCACTGAGCCACCAGCGAAGCTCCTGCTCAGTTCTTGATAAGCAAATCTTACTTACATAAATCCCAGAGTAAATCACCTTTCCTTTTTTGTCTTTTAGAACCTTAGACCTAGGAAGCCTCTTGGAGACTACCTGGAATATCCGGTTGAGAACACTGATTGGCAGGGAGAGGAAGTTCACTATTCTAAGCAAACGTTTTTACTGGCAGATCCAAGACCAGAATTTGGATCTAATGTGGTGGTTTCCAAAGTAAGGTCTATAAATATTGTGAAAATTTTTTAAATGGTCTTCTAGTATTTATTTAAAAATTACAAGTTACAGATATAAAACTTCTACTTTACAGTGGACAGTTCGTAACTGACAATCTTGTCAATTGCTTAAGCGTGTTGCTTAACTTGTTCTTGCTCTCAAACTAAGCCCTGATCTCAGGAGATTGGCAGATGGGGGTAGGAGGGGTGTGAGGATGAGGAGGCTGTGTGAGACCTTCCTCGTTTTAAAGTCTGTCTTTAACAAGAAATGATTTTGTGCTAAAGATGTCTGATTCTAGGAAATCAGAAGATTGGTGTTTTAAATCTCTCTGTGGATGTTATTTGGGTGGGGTGGAGGGGCGGTTTTGAATTTAGACAGAACGGGATGCACTTCCTGACACTTGTAACACTTGTGAATTTGTGAGCAAATCCTACAACTTGTCAGGTTCCCATTTCCCCCTCAGCATGATGAAGTGCATAATATTTCTTTCATGAGATTATTGTGAAGATTAAATGATATATTATATATGGAAAGCCTTGACCACAGTGTCTGGCAATAGCTAAATATTATTATTTGCAATAAGATCAGTGGCAGATTTCTACTCTTGAACTTGAATCCATGCTAACAGAGAAGGTCCTTCAACTTCCCTGTAATATGAACATATTATTGAAAATGTCTGACTTATTTTCCTTTTTGCTAATCTCTTCACCTGAGTCAATCAGACTACTCTTACCAGTAGGAAAAGATGTGTGTTAGTTGGGTGTTAACTTTTTTACCTCTGAAGACTCCTGTGACCACATTCAGATGAATCTTCTGATTTTAGGCTATTTATTTACCAGCATCCTGATAAACTAAGCACATGAACATATTTTGTTTCCAGCACTTTCATTTATCCTTGAGAATCTGAGTCCCACAGCAGGGAACAGAGGTTCTATTTAAAACTTTGTGACGATGAAAAGAACAAGAAATCTTGCAGGAACAGTGCCGAGATGCAAAAGAGCTTGCCCTTTCTCACACATGGAACTAATTGTGACATTCATCCCAGGGCCCAGGTCCTGTATGAGGACTCCAGAGCGCCTGCTGTAAAGATGTTTTGGAATCCCACCTCTGTCACTGCCCAGTTGGAGGGGCTGTAATATCAGCCAGGAACTATGCAAAAATAATAAAGTTGGACATTCTTTCGGAAAGATGACCTGTATGTTTAATATATCACACTATGTGAACCAAAGTCAGGTTCTATTACAGGCCACATAAAAGCTTCACGTAGGTTGTTTGTCTCTGTCTTTTTTCTTCACTGTTTTCTCAGAATGTGGACTTACTAAGCTAGCTTCCCTGTACGGTGCTGTTCTCTCATTCTGGGACCCACAAAATGAGGGAGATTTGAATCCTGCATTCACCCTTCTGCGTTCTGGGATATGCTTTCATGAGCATCATCTCCTTGGACCAGAAGGGCCATTAATCATAATACTGGAGCTAACAGAACTCTGTGCTTTTCTACTCCTCTTTGAAAACCCCTTAAATCACATTTTTATTTTTGATTGGCTAGTTCTCAATAAATGGATTTTATATAAATTCCTATGGTTTTTCATAAATAGTTTCAGTAGTATTTAATTATTAAGTATTTATTACTAAGTGAAATGCCATTAAAACCAATACAGATGAAGATGTCACTGTACTTCTGTCCATGAATAAGAATTTATATTTGAATGGCTCTTAACAGTTTGTAATCACATTGCCAACAAAGGTCCGTCTGGTCAAGGCTATGGTTTTTCCAGTGGTCATGTATGGATGTGAGAGTTGGACTGTGAAGAAAGCTGAGCGCAGAAGAATTGATGCTTTTGAACTATGGTGTTGGAGAAGATTCTTGAGAGTCCCTTCCTCTTCCATTCGTGATAGGAGACACCCAGTCAGCAGTGATCTTTAGCAGTGCAAGAATAGAAAGAGGAACACACTTACCTTCCATTTGCCTATTGTTGGTGTTTTGAATTCACTCAGTTGGAATTTTGTAATAATTTGCTGTCCATCTGAAACATAGGAATGCTTCAGAAGTGAACTGGCCTTTATTGCAGTTTAGAGCCCTGTCTGAGCCCGGGGTTGAGTAATCAGTGGAGTGAGAGTGTGGTTCTGTAGCCTCAGCCTCTCCGCATACCCCAGGGCAGCCTCTCCCTTAGACTTACTCATTTGGCTGAGAGCCCTGTAGGTTGTTCATTCCATTTTGGGGGATCAGAACCTGAAGAGGTCATTGTCCTCCACTCTCAGAGGACCTTCAGGCTTGCTGGACTTCTCTCCTCTCCCAGACCCAGGATCTCAACTCCAGCAATTACTGCACTAACGAAAACCTACAGCAGAGGGCGATCTCTCATGCATATCAAGGCTGCCTCTGCGGTGATGTCTATTAAATTGAATAACCCGTGGAAAAGTTTCTTTAATTAGGCCAGCTTCATAAAGGAGAGAGAAATCCCTTCTCCTAGAGGCCATCTTTTATATGTAGGAAGGGTGATTTTCTTGAAGGGGCAGTTTCCCTCTTCTGCCTACCCGACCTCCTGACACTGTTGGGTCTAATTTGTGAAGTTCAAAGACAGGAGGGGCTTAGCTGTAGAGTAGCCATTCTGGCTTTTGTTCATTTGTTTTCGTTTTTAAACCAAATGTACAGAGTGGTGGGACATTCAAACACAATGCAGCCGGCCTTGCTGACTTATTAGACTATCTTCACAGGCTCCTGCACAGAGGATTAGCCCAGAGAGGGTCATTAATGCCAAACAGCTGTTTTTCTTTCATGTGCCAGGCACTCACTCTGCTGAGTCTGTCTTATGCAATATTTCATTTAATAGTCACAAAACCCCATAAGGTAGATAGGTTTGTTATTGCCATTTTGTGGGAAGGGAAATGGAGACCCTGAGATAAAGGGAATGGCTGTGTGACCTTGAGCGAGTCCCCGGATTTCTCTGGGCTCCACCTTGCTCTTCTCTGAGACAAAGACGGATCAGATAGCTTCTAAGATCCCCGTTTCCTCTAGGTTCCAGACAAAATCAAATCAAAAGCACTGAAGCAAAACTTATTATGAAAATGGGAAATCTTTATTATGCGGGGGTGGGGATGTTATCATAATTGACCAGGAACTAGGGCTATGCTTTTGCGGTTTGTTGAGAATTGCCTGAGCTGAGCCTGTGGTGTGTGGAGGAACCCGGCATCAGTTTAGTTTAACATCCATAAATGTTGAAATGCTGAGCCTGGTCCAGTTTTAGCAATAACCGGCCTCAATTTCTGGGTAAAATGGCAACTGCATGAGAGGTCCTGAAAGCTTGGCCACTTAGCATCTGCTTCAGTTCATCCATGAAATGCAGAAGCCAAGTGTTAGCATATTGAGTTATGCAAAAGAGATGAGTCTCCTTTTATTTTTCCTGATAAAAAGTTAGCAAAATTTCTGACTTACCCTGGGTCCTGAAAGAAATTTTCAAGAAGGAAACAAATAAAGCTTTCAGTGGCTGATCTTCTTAGATGCAAGTTTTATTCTCTGAAGCATCAGCCACTGGCAGAGGTCTTACTGTGAATCTGTTCTAGTGGTTTTATATTCTTTCATACCTCTCACTGAGTTAGTTTCATACCCAACCTCTCACTAGGCCCTGGATACTGGGTGCTACTGAGCAGAGATGCGGTGGAGATAAGAGAGAAAAAGTCATGGTAAGTGGTTCTTAAGGATCAGGGGGTATACCTTGGTTGCATCTGAACTGGGCTGTGCACATTATAAAAGGCAGGGGTGATTCTTTAATGTTTTGAGGGTTTTATAGACCATGTGATGACAAGGAATCATTTTAAAGAGAGAAAAAACTTTCAGGTATAGGTGAGCTGCTTATTGGATATATTAAGGTGAATATATTTGTACTGTAAGAAATTGGCAGGGAAGATCTGGGCTGGGAAAAAATATATTCAGGAATTATCAGCACATCGATGGTATTTAAATTTGTGGTGAAGATCAGTTAAGGAGAGGATTGATGTCAGACAGAGAGCCTGTCCAAAGCTTGAGGCTTTGCACTGTTCAGAGGATTTAGAGGGGAAGAGGAATCAGTGAAGGAATCAGAGAAGGGGAAAATATGTCCTTAGATAAATATTCTATTAGCAGAGTTTAGCACACATGCACAGAGCACTGTTAAAAGTCCTGGTTCCAGCTTTTCACAAGTGAATTTTCCCCTCCCAAATAACCTTGCCTGGCAGAGATGCTATTTTGTCAGAGGAAGCAGCAGGAGCTGCTAAGCTGAGATGATGATTCATTATCTGTTAATGGTTTCCCCCCTGTGGTTTTTCTTTATTCTCACAACCCCCCACCCTCTTTTAGTGGAGTTTTCCATGGGCTGCAAAATCTATCTCTGGAAAATATCCAAGATTCTCAAGCCTTCTGGACTTTTCTTGACTCATGGAACCTGAGAACTTCTAGGCCAATCAGATTCAGTGGCTGTTAAACTCTGCCTGAAATTTGGTTCGCTCCTCTGTACACATACTTGTGATGGTTGATTTTAGGTGTCAACTGGGTAGAGCTATGTGGTGCCCAGAAAGTTGTTACGCTTCATTCTGGGTGCTGTGTAAGAATGTTTTGGGATGACATTGACGTTTATGTCAGTGGACTTGAGTAAAGCAGAGGGCGCTCCCTAGTCTGGGCTAAGCCTTGTCTGATCAGCTGAAGGCCTGCAGAGAACAGAACGACCAGTCCTTCGTTGAGTAAGAGAGAGCGGTCAGGCTAACTACCTTCGGACTTCATCCTGCAACATCGCCTTAACTCTTTCTGCCTGGTAACCTTCGGACTGGAACAGGACCCTCCATGCACATTTTCAACTTCTCAGCTTCCATAATTATGTGAGACAATTCCTTATATAGGCATACCTTATTTGACTGTGCTTCTCAGATATTACATTTTTCACAAATTGAATGTTTGTGGTAACCCCATTTGTTCTGAGACAGCATGGACGATGGTGGAGGTTTTAGCACTGTCTGCATTGCACGTGTGCACACTCAGTCGTGATCAACTCTTTTGTGATCCTGTGGACTGTAGCCCACCTGGCTCCTCTGTGGGAATTTTCCAGGCAGGAATACTGAAGTGGATTGTTATTTCCTCCTCCAGGGGATCTTTCTGACCCAGGGATTGAACTAGTGTGTCCTGCATCTCTTGCCTTGGCAGATGGATTCTTTACCACTGAGCCACCCGGGGAGCCAACTGGCTACAGGGAGTGAGAGGTTGTTACACAGACCCCAGTGCTGGAAGCGCTGCTGTTATTAGGTGGTTATAGGATGCCTGTTGGCCTGAAAGGGCTGGTTTTACCCCGTTGTAGTGACTGAGCTCTTCCCAGCACAGTAGTCTGCTGACAAACAGCCTTCTTTGCACACTTTACAGATTGTAGAGAACAGCAAGTTAGTGAACAGAAAGCAAGAGAAGAATGAAGGACTAATATTTGGACTTCCTTTACTTTAGCAAGTGTATATTCAGTGGATGAAAAGATACCCAAAAGCATTTTATAAGCAATATTTACTCATTATTTTGGAAACCATCTTCTTATACCTCAGCACCAGAATAGCTGGACTGTCGTTACACTGTTGGTTGATGTTAGCACCAAACCAGTATGGTGGTGGAGGAGGACAGGAGTGGTGCCAACTTCCAGGAGCAGCTGAATGGACCAAGGTGGGACCCGGGCAGTGCCTACCCCAGCACTGACCAGGCTTCAGAGAAGGAGGCAGGGTGCAGCGCAGGCCAAGCTCAAGATCTCTAGGATATCTGCGAACAGCTAGCACCCATTCACCAGCCAAGATAAACCAGCATCTGGCCTCCCTCTCAACTACAGCAAGGTGCTGGGAGCCAAGCGGGGCCATCATGACTCTTTACTGTCATGAGAATGTCTTTCAAAGACCTTGTCGTGGTTCCCTGTGTGAACGATGGATCAGACATAGCCATCATTTACTACTGACAAGTGCATCAAACAAAGGAGTGTGCCAACAAACCTGAATCAACAATTAGGAAAAATTTAGACCAATTTGAAACACAATACATGCTTCAGCCTATATATCACTTAGCAGTTTGACCAGTCATTCACTTTTATGCACATATATGTTATTAGAATAAAATAAATTGCAGTTTGAA